CGATCAAATGTCTCTCCTGACATTTTGTCACAGTCATATCGTAGGTAAGCTGGTTAGGGGATTGACTTTGGCAAAGAGGGATCGGTATGGTGACTTGAGTTGACGCGTCCAGTAAAACTCTGGCAGCAAGTGAACGCTGCCATGAGGCGCACCCGTGAACTACTCAACTACTATGGGTCTTCGAATGAAATGACTAGACTAGACTCTCTTAGACTAAGAGTAACAGCCGTTTTGTCATTTAAACTCGCCTAGTATTAAGACATTTGCAGTCAGGTCCCTCACGATCATTGGCGGCTCGTTACAAAGGTCGTTCCCAATCATGCGATTCCGTACACGCATCCGGATATATTCAATTTTTAGGATTAGGGCGTGCGGGAAGAGGCCCTAAGTATTGAGATTGTTGAAAAACCCAAACGGAAAGGTGGCCTGCCGATCGGTGTCATCACAACCATAATCGTTCTTCACAATTTTGGTACTGTGCTGTGAGCACAATTCGCCTTCCATTCGGAAATACACGTCCTCATTGACCAAACTGGAGTGCTTATTCCTGGGACACAGAATGAGTGAGTTTCCTTCTCATTTCAGCATCGCAGAACATATGTCGTTGCCCGAACAGCCCGTTCATCTTATTATCTGCAATATAATCGCCTGGTAAACCCACGATGAGCTCATGTGGATCGCCCAGTAGGCTTCACCGGATTTTTAGAAGCAGTAAGGAACATCTAATATATATAGACGATCGTGACTGACTGACTGACTGACTGACTGACGCTAATTCTAACCATGTTCCAGAAAGGCTAGAAATCTGAAACTTGGTACAAATGTACCTTTTGGGGTGCAGAGTTCAGAAAAATTCCGACATTGGAGGTACATTCCCTGGGGGTACACATTTTGGGGGAAGAAGTATTTTTAAATACATATCGTGACGGATAAGGAAGTCATTCGAGAGGAACTAATGTATGTCTCCATTTCGGTGGTGTAGTGGTAGCACGTCTGACCAGTAATCGTGAGTCCCTGGTTCAGTTCCTGGCCATTATAAGCCCTTTATTTTTAGTTTCTCTTGCCTTCCATGTGACGTTACTTGAATAAAACGGAGAGACATGGAAAGCTGAAACGTGGCATGGACGTGCCTACCGACACAATGAGTTCAGGAAAAATGCAAAATTTTAGATCCATGCCCCTAGGGGCATATTTTTGGGGGCCGACGTTTTCAAGTATTTCTTTTTTGTCCTGGTGGATTGAGCTAGTGTGGAAAGATGAAACTTGGTACATAATTACCTACCGGGATGCTGCGCGCAGAAAAATTCAGACTTTGGAATGAATTTCAAAGGGAGATGTTTTCAAATTATTTTTTGCATTAGTTAAACTGATGGACATGGAAAGCTGGAACTTTGCATGAATGTGACTACCAAGATAATGATTTAAAGGAAAATGTTAAGTCTTTATACGTCCCCGGGGGAAAAGTTCTCGAGGGGCGATGTTTAGAAAAAAAATTTGTCGTGGCGAATTGGACAGAAATGGAAAGGTGAAACATGGCACACGTATAAGTGACGTGATATTGAGTTGAGGGAGTATTCAGCTTTCTTGGTGCATCCCTCCGAGCATTGCTTTTGGGTGGGTCGACTTTTCCAAACATGATTTTGCACCAGCGAAAAGGGCAAACGTATAAGATTGAAACTTTGTGGGCATGTAGTTCACTGAGGTTTGATTTCGGTGAAAATGGTACTTTTCGGTTAAAATGCCCCAGTGCATATGTTTTGCAAATTTTCCTGAATTTTCTGATCCAGCAAAACGGAGGGTGCTAGAAAGTTTAAACTTGGCAAAGAAGTACCTGATGAATAGCTGAGTAAAGAAAACTATAGACTTTCATATTATATATAGGCGATCGTGAGTGGCTAACTGACATAAGCAGCTATTCACATGCTGTGTTCAGAAAAAATTCACCTTTTCCCGTGGTCATTCCAGCAAGACGTGGACGTCCAGCTCGTTTTTTCCTGGTATTTCCGACAGGTATTTCCGACAGGTATTTCCGCATGCCTGTGAAACACATCTGCCATGCCTCCGTGTAGAGCTTCTTGAGAATTGCAGATGGCACGAGCGGGACCTTAAAGTCCTGGGACCTGACCCATCGCACCATCGTCTTCCCATTCCGCTCCTGATCGGGCGACAGGGAAATTCCACACCTTCGTGCATCTCCGCCCAAATGACAATAGCTATGGCAGCAAAACTTCATTCATTTGAAATAATAATAATTGCAATTAATAATTTAGCCACTACGATGCTTTTCTCTTTGCTGGGTTCCATCCCTGGCCTCTTAGTGCTCATGGAAAAAACGAAACACGCGTCTCCATCTTCCAGCATAATCGCATAAGTCCTATAGGGCGCATAATTTCCTACAAGGAGCCTTATAGTAATCCTATTTGAATGTACTGGTATCCAATATGGCCATGTTGTGCAGTAGCTTTGCAAAATGAAGACATTCTTCAGATTCCATGACGAGAGACGCTAACTCGTTACTATTCCCAAACTTATCTGAAAGCAATAACTTGTCCTTTAATTGAATGAGAGATAATTAAAGATGCATGACGAATTCACTTAAACCCACAAAACAGCGAATGTTCAATAGTATACAACATCTTCCCACCTGTCACATATTTTCAGGCTATCAGTAGCAAACGTTACTATTGTTTAGCATTTAATATGAAGAGTTACTCCTGCACAGGACAGGAATTAATGAAACAACCAAGACTTCAGGTTCCTGATGAACATCCATGAGAGGATGAATTGATTCTTCCTCCATAGTCGATCTTGTCAATAATCGATAGTCGATAACCTCAATTTTCATCGAATGATTTCATTTGTGTGATGGACAGCACATCTGCTAAAGCAGTGAAGGATACAGAAATTATTCATTGAAAGCCATTTCTATAATTCTCCCCCCCCCCCATCCTCCTCATCCCTGTATCCGTCACTGCGTAGGGAGGAAGAGGAAGGACCCAGGTAACAAACGGATCATCGTTGCATGGACGTTGACATTGAATCTTCTCACTGTTGTTGTGGCATTGCATCTAACATTAATTCAATATTTAAACGTTATTTATCACAGTACTTAGATGAACATTGAAGTTCAACACAAGCTGAATGCTGAGTCAGCATAGTTGTGTCACTAATTGAATCGCTCACTCCACACCCCATTTGCACCAGATATTGACTCAACGCTGGATCAGCATTGGCCACGTTGGCTGCACCTTGTCCAATATTACAAATATTGTGAAAATATTTGCTTTCATTGGCTTTCAAATATTACCTTTCCATTGTCGATCAAATATCGGACCGATGGGATAATCCAATGGGTTTAAGTTTCACCTAAGCGGGTTTTTGGGAAAGGTCGAAGTTCTCCTCTAGGCTACTAGATGGAGGCGTGGGACTCGCATTTCTCACAGCATACAAAAGTTTCATTTCCCTCTATCCATGGAATCATCCCTCACAGGAATGTTTTGTACCTCCCCATATTTCTCGCCTTGTCTTATTATAGCAATCAATAAACTTGGACACTTCCTAATTAGCTATCTCCATATTCGAGACAGAAACATGGAACCCTGGCCATAAGCAATCTCATCTTCCCTATGAGAACACATTATTAAAAGGGAAATAACCCCGAGGTATTTATCCTGATGAATGTAATTAGGGTTAATTTAAATGTTTGTTCGTTTTATGGCTTTTACCCTTCCACGAGCTGGACAGGAGCAGATGGTTGTACTAGTACCGAAAGTAAAGGCATCCCAACGATGGGAAAGCCCTGACTTTAGAATAAAGATGAATTTAGAATATAAAGCAACGCCAATATTGACCGCGGTAGTAATCTCATTTATTAGTTGTCCCGGTTTTAATCCCCCGGTTTTGAAACCAAAGGAGCTTCTACGAATCTTATAGGTCAGGCGTAATATAGAACCCTGTAGGGAACCTTGAGGCGTTTCATGTTTCAAAAACCTATTGCAAAGGTCTATTGGTTTCCTAAAGGACTTTTCGTAAGGGACCTATAAAGGACTTCCTCGACAGAATTAATGATTCTGAAACAGTATGAAGTCTATGATACATCAGACAGTACGCTTCTCTCTCCCGTGCAGGGCTTTCAGAGTTTGTGCATAATAGCGTCGGAACGAGAAAAGAAGTACGTATCGCTTTCAAGTGCTGAGGGATATTTCCTTGTTACCAGCAATTGTACCAGCAATTAAATTTGCTGAGATGAACCAACTGCTTTCTTGAATGCCGACACGAACAGCACACCGTTAACGTGGCTCTTTGGTCTCTTAAATTATTGAAATGCTCAGAGACAAGACCAGCTAGATTGGGATTAATAAAGTGTTGCTTCAACTAGTGTTTAAAATTTCGACATTTAAAAGAGGACAACAAAAAAAATTTGTCGCTCCAGCCATCACGTACTCTACAAATTTATTGCTACATTGAATAGTCAATCATCATTCCGATGGAGAGAATTGACAGGAAATCCACAAATCAGCTTTGTCCCCTGGACAGGAGAGATTTCATTAAATTTTTCTCCCGTTATTCTTCAGCTTGCATATAAACGAAAGCAACTCGAACTCACAACTCTTGAAACTGCATGGATCTCATTGTCATGGGTGAAAATTTCATGATGATAACAAGAAAGAGGTTCTGTAAATGTTTCCTCATCCTAGTGGCGAGATACCACGTAATTGGTTTTCTTACATTGAACAAATTCATTTGGGATTTTACTCTCAGAGACCATATCCGCCGCTGACGAAGGGTGAAACATCTATGAAAGGGATGAAATAGTTAACCACAGTAGGGATACTTCATAGACATTATAAGGAAGTGGAAACCATCATTAACAACAAATCAAATATTTTTTATTTGTACAGGGTACTTAAGGATGAGGATTGATTCGCACGCATTTTCACAAGTAGACTTTGAATTAAGGAATGGGGAACATGAAGCTTTTTGCGTTCAGTTTCAGACCGTCAGCCTTGAATGACCTGGAGTCCCATTCGGTGCTTGGACAGAAAATTCTGGAGGGCAAGAATAAACTTCCGGCATCCATCTGCATAGATGTTCCGAAGGATCGCGTTCGGGACGAACGGGAGCTTGAAGTCCAACGTACTGATCCAGCGCAGTCGCGTCCTTGTTGCCTTATGTCGTGCGTCTGGCGACAGCGATATTCCGCTTCCTTCCTGCACCGTCGCCCTAAAACCTCCGCCAAACAAGGTCGAAAGTTCGTCTGTGACTTGGAATACAAATTCGTATGTCTTGTTTTCTTGGTGTTTTCATAACACCATTAGTTGGACATGAACCATGGAGCTGCATTTGTGGTATGATATGAACTAACGTGCATGATTAGATTTTCCTATTCACCTATAGGGGCATTCCGCGCCAAATCCACCAGCGCGTGAGCTCCACCACCCTTGAAGTTGAAAAAATATGGCATTATTTAAATATGGAGCTCGTTGAGGAATCAATTTATAGATACTCGTTTCAACCGACTTTTAATCCCTCGCACAGATGTCCAGTAATTTGCATTGGAACACGACCTTCTTTTGGCTCTTATTACCCATACGGACTTAAACTTTCAAACTGTCCTGCCTTAACTTTCCCTAAGATAAAGGCTTCGGCATTTTAATTGAAAAAATTACGGACTTTAAAGTGATTTTAGGTTCCGGTCTCCACAGTTTCAACAAATATTTCCACTTGATGAAGTTCACTGACTAATATCCAGACTTGTCACATCGAGAATTCACTATTCCAATACTTCATTCAAAAGTGATACTACATTGAAAAGTATGCCATTTCTAACGATACCAATCTGAGGTTGCCACTCAATGGCTCGACAAGATAAGAATATGTATCTTCAGCAGTAGTGCCAAAATTCTCATTGTACAAACAGTTTGACCGACTGCAGCGACCGAAAGTGGCATTTTCCCCCCATAAATCCTTAGGATTTATGGAGTGAATCCCAGCAAATCGTAAAGATTTGATTACTGAATAGCTTTTCTTAGTTCTGCACCTGTTCTGATTGCTTTATATCCTTTTGTAGAGCGTTTCAAGAGAATTTAACAGACGCATAGTTGATAAACAGATGAATAGATAAATATGAAAGGTATTACAACGGTTTCTGTGAGGTACCCTTTTTAATCGAAAAAGGTATATTTCGCAACCATTCATTACAATAATGAAAATTAAAAATTACGATGAATAGGTTCTCTCTATGTGTGTACCATTATTGCTCAGGCATCGCTGGAGCCGATCACGGTAAGAAAGAAGCAATTCGCAGCGCTTCTCAACAGTGACTTTATCAAATGCTCCACAGATGCAAGCACGGAGACCATTAAGGTCAAGGATTGGTGAAGTGTGCACTAAATTTCTAATGTATCCTCATAAGAAGAAGTCCATTGGGATCAATTCAGGTGATCGTGATGGCCATAGTATGTTTGGTGACCCAATGCCCATCCAACGGTCTACAAAGTTCTCATTAAACAATGTACGAACGTCACGGTACCATTGCGGGGCTTGCATGAACCGCACGTCTTACAGTTCAACGCCTTACACGCACGTCTTACAGTACAACGCCTTGAATGAATGGCCAGAACTCATTCATCAGCAGATTCAGGTAAGACTCTCCGGTGACGTTGCCTTCAAAGAAGATAGGCCCGATGATACCCGTTTCACCAATGGTGGCCGATACAGTGACTCTTGAAGAATGGAGTGCAGATTCGGCTTACCATACCGGGGTTATCACCTGACCAGTAACGAAAATTGTGCTGATTCACGTCACCAAGCATGGGAAATTTGGTTCATTCCAGAAGAAATGACTCAACAGGTGTTCTGGATCGCTTTCAATGCGTTCAAGTTCATCCTTGGCGAAAGAGATGCGGTTGTCCTTGTCTTTGTGCCAGGAGTGCTATTGTACCGTTTGCATTTTGTATTTATGAAAATTGTTGTTTTTGAGAATCTGCACAATATTCAATTTACTGATGTTGAATTAAGCTCAATTAAGCGGCTGGAAGATGTGAGTGGTGGCGCGAAAAAGTGTTGCCTGCGAGGATGGCCGTAACTTCATTTACTCTCAGCCGCTTGCGCTCAAATATGTGTCAGAAATTTCTCTTGAAACGCTCTGCAAAGAGATACAAACATTATCAGAATCGGTGCAGATTTAAAAAAGTTATCCAAAAATCAAACTTTTACAATTCCTTAGGACACGCAGTATATCGAAGTACCTGCTATATCCTTTTCTAACTATTTCGAATACAAGGTAGGCACACAATTTCTCCATGAGATATAACAGTTAGTCGTGAAGAATCGTGCACAAAACCGGCACTATTCTTCATTCCATGCAGGCTCTTTTCTATCCTATTGAATTCAAAGTGCAGGTAAGTGGTTCCATGTCAAAACATCGAAGCGACAAAACATCGAAACGCAGCTTCGACGTGACAAAACATCGACGGGCCGAAACATGGACGAAATGAAATGTCAGCATGCCAATTTCTTCTTTTTTCTTTGCGATTACTAGTGTTACATAACTTCTGAAGGGTCTTGCAGCGATCATCTGTCAATCCAAGATGACCGATGAAAGACAGGTTCAAGATGACATAGTGGCTTCTGCAAGCATCTTGGAGCTATACGTACGCTTATAATGTACAGTGAATTTGCTCAGTTGCCGTTTGTTTCTCATCAATTGAAATAAAAAAGTATTTTTGCAGTTTTCGTAGATCACAGGATATACACGTATGCATATGGTACAGCTGAGATTTTGTAATAAAGAGAAAAATGTTAAATCTTTTAACGGAAGTACTGAATTTTCTACATGTTATTGGTACGTACACTTTAAATGAAGAGGAATTCAAACCACATCAAGAGAGACGAAATGAAAAGAATAAAACATTAGCATAATGTATCATAGTTTGTAAACGATGAGAACAGGAGAATATATTGAAAGGATGAGCCAGTCATTGCATGGTGCCCTGTAGCAGATCAGCGTTACACCTGGAGATCGAAATTATATGCAATCCGTTGTAAATTCAATTTCAGTAGTCGCTGCAAATAATCCAAAACAATGGAATTTATTCGAGAGAGCCATGACGATTAATTTTGCAGCTCGGAGGAGGGTCTTGTCATGCAATATACCGTTCCATCCTAAGTTAATTCAGGCTCTGTTCATCCTTGAGACAATCAATAAGCTTCCATTTGGAAGGATAATTAGCCGAGAGATGCTTGCTGAAGCCACGATGCCATCCTCAAGCTATCTTCCATCGGTCATCCTAGATTGATTGACGATCGCAGCAAGGCAAAAGGAAGTTATGTAATATTAGCGATCTCAAAAAAATCCAAGAACATTAAGTTGGTATGTGAACATTTCGTTTCGTCAAAGTTTCGTCCCGTCAATGTTTTGTCGTTGATGTTCAGTCGTTCCGAGGTTTTCGCATGGATGTTCTAACATGATACCCAGGTAAGTATTAAACCACCCTCATAGCTCAGGTTGAGCATATTTCTATCAGATCATATGAGGCGTTTTAAACATATCGAGCGTTTTCAGCTACTCACCTGACCACACCGTCCCTCGGTTCCAGGCCGGGCCACTCGGTGCTCCTGAAGGATACGAAGTGGGTGTCCTCGATCTTGTCGAAATAGGTGAGAAGGATCATGTCCCGACTAGCGAAGAGGCCTCCGAGTTTCGGCTCCGTCACTTGGTATGTCACCCAGCAGGTGCCTGTCAGTCGCTGTCAAATAAAGAGTCAAAAGTGAGCCAAAAGTGAGATTGTTCTGGTATTTTCGTACTCCTTTCCTTGACGGAAAATTGAATGGATACTCGAGACTCGAGAGCATTTACAGATCGGCATCATTTATATCGAGATACTACGCGGAAAGTGGCTGAAATATATAAAAGTTCGTAGGACTCATTTTGAATCCATAACTGAAGACAAACCATGCTGGAGATATATTACATTTTAATTTTCAATAGTCGAAGAATGCAGGAAAATACTTTCTATGAACTATTGCAATCAGATATGCCGATTTTATCGATTTTATCAGGGGACTTACTGGTCATGAAACCTTCGTGATGTCGACCATATTCAATAATTTCCTTCCCAATTTCGAACTCTTCCTTCTTCAATTTGGGAGGTATCTAACTCATACCAATTTCAGGGAAATTTAACGTCACAAGAAGTCACATGGCGCATCGATTACTTTCCCATTACTTCCTCTGTTGCATTTTCATATATTGCATTATCTATTGCATTATGGATTTTCAATATAAAGCCATTCGATTTCATCCCCAGCACAGATCGTTTCGTAAAGCTTGCACCACAACTATACATCATTCATTTCGACTTACTATACAAGAGAGGTAAGGAAATCTCCATCTGAATAATCATTCAACAATGAACCCTGAGAATCAACGCAATTCATCTGAGATCAAAAATTTTCTCCAACCGGACGGACCTGAATGATTTTATATTCCTTCATGTCAGAGCACCAATCGGTAGTGGCCGGCATGGCGTGGTCTTGATATTGTCGAAATGTCCACTCGCACTCGAAATCCAGCAGGGCCTACAGCAGAAAGAAAAAGAAGAAAAGGAACTACAATTCCGATTCTACATTTCAGTTTTCAGTTTGAGTCTTTCCAAAATTTGGTCTTGGCACCAAGTGGCATTCAGTTGCAGGAAAGCCAGACTATATTAACAAGAAACTGGAAAACCAAAAACTTCCGTCTTTAGAATGGTCTGTGAGAAATGCCCTTTAGGAAATTTGAAATGACTCGACACTTCGTCACATCTCACAAACTGCTTCAAGAAAATTTGACGCTTCATCCTCAGACTTTCTTTTCTTTGAAAGGGTTGGGAGTAGGATTCAGCGGAGCAGAAATAAGTCGCAACCCAACAGAATTCGATTAAAAATGTAATAAGCGGGAAAAAAATCATCAATGAACCCACAAACAACTGATACACCTTCCCACCAAAAGAACTAAAGGTATTTCACAGGCAAATGATGAAACAAGCCAACAAAAATATTACGAAAATTGGCTTCTCATATGGAATAGCTGATTGCAATTCCGAACAAAAAAGTTGTATCGCAAAAGGAATTGGAATTTAGTCGTTTCTTAGTAAGAACTTGTTTATAGTTTTCTTCATCAATGGAATGATTCCAGAATTGCCTAGTACAATGAAACAATAGCCGTCATCGTAAGCTCAATCATAGCAGAATTTTCTCCACTGCAATCGCCGACAACGGAATGTTGTTGCCAATACTTTGAAGACTGGAATCTTCTTTCCCTTTCCATCGACGGCTTAATTGGTTTCTTTTATCATTCCTGTAATTCGGCATTGCGAAAAATATTGAGAGTTCAGTACAATTCATGAAAGACTCATTGCTTTTCAATTCAGAAATATTGAGTTCAGAGTTTGAAATTTCTACAAGAGAGAATGAAAGAGATAACCTCGGTCAAGACGAAATGCGTCTTCGTGTCTTGATCGAACAAGTACTTGATAGTGATTCCCTCCTCGCCGTAATCCCATCCCAGAGCCCACTCCTTCCTCTCCAGGTTGAAACGGAACTTCTCCACCGCACTGCCTCCTTCGCTCATGCATTTCTCCTCCCATGCCTTTCGAACATGTAGCATATCATATCCTCCACTCACTTTCATGAAAGCCCGGTTATTATACACCCATGAGTTGGCAATACGTTTGCTCGTTCGCCAGCGTACCTTTCCGTCTCTGTTAGCCTAATTTAATGCGACAGTATTATGGATTTTTTTGATTAGATAAATGTTTCATGGAAACAAGCATTTACATTTGTTGGAACACAACTAATTATAAAGATATTCGTATAAAACGCAATTTGAAACAATTCCTAGTTTATTTGGGCCGTAATCGTTCCTCTAGAATCACACTACCTCTGATAATGTAAGGTTTTATGCTCGGAAAATGATCAGACTGAAAGGGGCTAACGACATCAGTCCAACAAATTGAAAGTCGAAATTGAAGTTGCTAATGAAGCTAGGAAAACCACTTAGACGACGTGTTCACGGCACTTCTTTTGGGTGATTCCATATCACTTTTTTCCCCGACCCCTCCAGCTTTATCGAAATTCGGCAGACTGATAGTAAATAATGATGGAAAAAGTAACAATTTTCATCGCTATACATTATGTATTGTGAGAATGACAGTTAATCAAAAAAAAACAAAAAATTTTTGGGGCACTTTGAGCCCAAGAATCACAAAAATAATAATAATTCTGTCAGGAAAAAAAGATAACGACGTAAATACAGTATCGTTGAATAGGTTTTAGAATTCCCTATCAGATGAATTGAAGCACGTACCGACAAAACCAATGACTTTGGTCAACATGCTTGTATTGACCTTGAATTTTGACCGGACCTTGACTTAAATTCCGACTCTCGATTTGCTAAAATTCTAAGACATCATCGATCACGTCTTCATTTATGTAAGCTGAGAATTTCATTTAAAAATGTTTACCATCAACATAGACATGAGCATTATAGTGTGTGACCATCATAACATGAGCTTGTATCTCGACACGAGGTCCATGGTGGGAAAATGCCATTGTGCGGGTATCCCGATGTCTTCGTGGTGGTAAGCAATGTCTGCAAAATTATTCCAGTTTTTATGATGCGCGGCGCACCCGTGGGAAACATGAGCTAAAACTTTCCAGTAATGATTTTCGTTTTGATGTAATCCATGAGTAACTTCATGAATAAATGGACTGCCAATATGTCATGGTTCAGTGAATCTGAAAAGAAGACAAAACGGAGAATGTTCCAAAGCCCCATTGTGCACAAAGTTTGCCACTGATGGTGGCGCTCTCGTTACTACAGTGGTAACCCTGAATGGCGTCGTGAATTATGAAAGCAAAATTCTCTCTAAAGTCACATATGACAAGCACTTCCTTTTCTTTCAATGATTCCTTTAAGTTATTCAGCACTTTTGCTTGCTTATTCGCTATGAAATCATCCCGTAAGGGAACTCAGTATTCAGATTTAGTGCGTGATATCAAATATTGCTACACAGGGGTGCTAATCTCTGAATGGACACGATATAAATAAAATGTATATATGGGAGACTGCATTTGGAAACCGTTCAGTTCATATCATGTTTTGGCCATTCTTAAAGAATATGGTTATGTGGGAATGGTAAATAGGGTTGGAGGGGAAGTTTAAAACTTGCAAGCTATAAGCATTCAGAGACATTATTAGCGCAGAGCTCTCCCCTTGAAGCTCATTTCCTACTCTTTGTGGAGGAAGGGGGAGACCTCACTCCTTAGGGGTAAGCGATCCTAGGGCACTGGCTTTCGTTTCTGGAAGCATAGGAGCTGAATTACTGGGTTAAAACGAAAAGATGACTCTGCTTCCTGTCTATGGTTATCCCTATGAAATGGAGAGAGTTGGCTGAGAATTAATTACTGTCAGATCGCTTATAATGATGATCTCTTGGTTGGAGTCAAGTGTTAGAGGTCAAGCGTGGCACCTAGGCGGGTATGCTCATGCTACACCTTCCCTAGGTCGTCCCCCATATTTAGAACAGCCCAAATGTGATACGGACGGAAAGGTTTTCAAATATATTCCAAATGCAGCATTTTTTGCGCATAGTTTATGGGTGTCATCTAATATATATAGACGATCGTGACTGACTGACTGACTGACTGACTGACGCTTCCCAAACGTCAGGGAGGATTATAAGTTAGGCCATGTATGGACAATGCATAACTCATGCTTTATGGCCTCGACAGATCTAACGTTATGGCAAACCAGAGGGCAGTGAAGGCCGCTTGTTCCTAGACCCACCCCTTATGGATCGGTCCTGCAGGATCCGTATAGGAATGTACAGGAATTTATAGGAATCTTGTAGGTTTTGAAATGTGAAAAACCTGAGATCATTTAATAATCCTATAGGATACCTTTAAGATCATATAGGGTGCCTGTGAGATTCAATCGATTCCTGCAGGTATCCTATTGGTTTTTCGTTTTAAAAACCTAGAGGATCTTTTCGTAAGGGTGTCCTCTTACTCCGGCCGAATGTTCACTGCTCTTTGAAAATGTGTTTGTATTCCAATAGGACATGTATTGTTTTCTTTAAATGCGGATTTTACTGCGTGCGTGCAGCGATGTAACGACTTCGGCAGGTTGAATGAGGCTGGCGGAGCTGCCTTCGTCGACGGTGTGTCTGCATTGTTCATGTTGGTACGATTGTGTTGAGGGTGCCACATGGACCTATGAATATCCCGCACCCATTCAACACGTGTTAGAGCAACAGAGTTTATTTA